TTTTTCATATATCTCCATATCTCGTTCTATTGCACTGGCTATCTATAAAATATAAAAAAACTTTAAAATTTGCACATTCATGTACAAGTCTCACCTAAATTATTTCCAAAGTACTTATCAGATATATTAATTGAACCTAAACGCCCCGGTTTACGATCGTCTTCTTGTTCTCGCTTCTTCTTAACTCGTGTTAAACACTCTTTTGCTAAATCTGTTTTTGCTTTTTCTGTCCCTTTTCTCTGGAACTCTCTACCTACTTCTCTGGCTACTTCTCCATCATTTACAAAGTTCAGAGCGGATCTCAAGACCCATCTGTTTTCAAAATTTATTGAGGAGCGCTGTTGAACATCGCGTAAATAGCGCTTTACAATCTAATTGATTGATTAATTGATTGATTGATTGATTGGTTGGTTGGCTGGGTGAATGATTGATTTGTTGGTTGATTGCTTGATTGGCTGGTTGGTTGGTTGATTGATTGAATGAATGATTGGTTAGTTGGTTGGTTGAATGATTGATTGATTGATTGATTTCCAAAAAATTGAACATGCCCTAATTTACAACATGACAACACAGACTCAAGGTATCTACTGGAGATTAAAATAATTGTGAGTGAGATTAACAAGAGTTTGGGAAAAGTCGGGCAGTTGTGTTATTATTTCATAAATAACCCATTGTTAGAAACGGGATCAGTATTAACTTTCGACTGCTACACACAGCCAACATGGGAAGGTACTTGTATGTCGTCAGGGCGGAGAATGCCACCTTCAGACCTGATTCCATAGCCATTGCTGAAATTAACATCTTTACTTCAAATATAAGTGGGTTTTTTATTAGTGTTTTAAATGATCAGTTAGACAAATAATAAACATTTTGGAAAATTATTTGAATTTAAAATATGCATCGACTCTTGTAAAGTTTAGAAGACAGATAAAAATTAATTGCTTGTAAAAAATTCAGTTGCCAAATTTGGTTTTGAACAGTTCACGCAGGGAACAAACTAGAACTATCGAATTATCAAGTCGAGCAGAAAGGAACACGTGAAAATCATCACGCTGACTTTGCCATTGACAAGAATGCTGATACTTTTTCCATCGCATGTGGAAATTGTAACGACGTCTATGACGAAGGACCTATTTGGTGGATGATTGATCTTCAAAAGAGTGAGCCCATCTCGAGGGTTGTCCTCACCAGCAGTCACGACTCTCTCAGTACGTTTTCTATTAGAGTTTTTTCAATTCCTATATATTAAGTAATGCCATATTTGCCGGTAAAAAAAATTGAATATGCCTCAATTTACTACACGACTACACAGATTCAAAGTATTTGCAAAAGATTAAAATAATTGTGAGTGAGATTAACAAGAGTTTGGGACAAGACGGGCAGTTGTGTTATTATGTCAACAATAACACATTGTTAGAAACGGGATCAGTGTTAACTTTCGACTGCTACACACAGCCAACATGGGGGAGGTACTTGTATGTCGTCAGGGCGGAGAATGCCACCTTCAGACCTGATGCCATGGCCATTGCTGAAATTAACATTTTTACTTCAATTATAACGCAATAAACATGATTACAAGTTGAATATTTTTGAGTTATTCGCCAAACATTTGACATTATGGTTCAATTGGCAGCTAAAAAAAAAAACAAATTCTTTTCAAGGTTGAAAATTTTATTTTTTTGTGTTGGATACTTAAAAAATAAACGTTTGAATTCAAACTTCAAAAATTTAGTTTGGGCATTCTATTTTATTTAGCTATTCTATTGAAGCGTAGAGACATTACCATATTCGATTACAGTAATTACCGCAAACTCTTTCGAAGTTAGTTGAATAAATAAATATGAATAAATAAGTAAAATATGAGCAAAATAATTTATGTATATACTTATAAAACTCATGACAAAACCAAATCTGTTCGACTATAGCCGAATAGTCCGCAATTCAGCGTTGACTACTGAACGATGACTCTAACGTCATCGTCTTGTGGCTTGCTTGGCTTAACAGTTTCATGCCTACAGACGACATGGTCCACGTGGTCGATAATTGTGTGCACATCATCTTTGGAGCCCTCTGAATAAGGAGAGGAGTCCAAGTAGTAAATTGTTTTGTCGTTCTCGAACATTCCGTTCTAAATGATGGTGGTCAGCAAGTTGATTGTTGCATTTTTTTAATTCTATAAATTCAGATTCTGACAGACGCAGGAACTGTTTCAACATAAAAATAGGAAAATAAAGACACAATTAGTAACGTGATAAAAAAGAGGTGGTGATGATGATAACTCTATTGTTTCATTCTTATTAGAAGTTTAAGATTTTATAACGGTCATCTTAATGATGAAGATGTCAAAGGTTTTTTTTGGTAATTTTATCATTTATGGTTTTGACGTCCATAGAAATGACTGTACAGCCAGGTATGAATGTAAACAGATCCTCTTCTATCAAAGTAAATAATTAGTGAAAGTAAAAACAGAAATAAATTTTGCATTCTTTTCAACTTTTAAAAATAAGTAGTAGCAAAAATATTATGTGGTCTCCATTTTTAATCCTTCCTGAAGATAAAATTTAGCGGTTGCCCAATGCCAATCTCAAAGTTTCCGATTTTTCGTTATGTATGATGAGTCGAAAGATGTTCAATAAATTTCAATTTTTTAAAAGCTCAAAATTTAATCTTCAAATTATATCAGAAAACACTCACGATGATGAATTTTTAAACTCATGGTAAAATATCGGAATTAGACCAACAACGTTTGTTGCTGCCAATTGTTATAAGAAATAGGAGATAACTTAATGGCTAAAATCTCAATTCATACGTTAAACTGACCGGCTCCAGACAAAAATGGAAACCATGTGTTGTGTTTAGGTACATTATATGTAACATGTTTATCCATTTATCAATTCGGCATAGTGGTTTGTATCTGAACTTATTAAAATATTTAACGACAAATGATAATAAGATAATAAGAAGGTCTGAAATATATATATATATATATTATTATTATTATTATTATTGAAACATTTATGAAGCGCTAATTAAAGGAATCTCAAAAGCGCTATCTAACAAAAACTGAACTTAACAACATAATTGAAATAACAAACGAGAAATCATAATACATCGCACAGAAATAAGATTAAAATTTGGTCATAAACAGAAAAGTAATCGATTCAATAAAACGAAAATACGAAATAATATTTAGAACATGTCGACTAAACAGAAAGAATCGATCAATAATGCATCACAATGAAAATAAATGAGTTTTCAGTTTCTTCTTGAAGTCACGCAGGTTTAGGTCCGGATTTCTGAGAGCAGCAGGCAGGTTGTTCCAAACAGTTGGTCCAGAAACAGCAATGTTACGAGAGCCTATACGGAGACTCGTTGTTGGGATCAACAGCAGGTCTGAAACATCGGATCTCAAGTGTGTTCCAGATGCTTTTGAAGTCTCTTTTTGAACCTGTCAGACAAATAAGATGGAGCTAGACCGTTGATAGACCTGTAGACAAGTGTTGAAATTTTGAACAACACTCTTTTTTCGACGGTTAGCCAATGAAGTTCCTTCAGTATTGGAGACACATGATCGTATTTTAGAGCTTCAACAACAACTTTTGCGGCTCGATTTTGTATTGATTGAAGTACAGCCACGGATCGATCAGGTAAGTCATAAAATAAACTATTGCAATAGTCGACGCGTGAGTGCACAAATGCATAAACCAACGTCTGCAACGTGGATGTATCTAGGGATTGTCGAATTTGATTGATTTTCCTGATTTGAAACACGCATTCGGCTGAGAGCTTCTTAATGTGTTGTTTCATTGACAAACCTGAATCAATCGTGAAGCCCAGATTAGCTGCTGTCTGACAATATATATATATATATATGTCTGCTATATATATATATATATATATATTACCCACATATATTTTATATATATCTATTATATATATATATATATCAACATATATTATATATATATATATATATATCAACAACATCTATTACCAAATTTATGATATTATTACCAAAGATATGCTGCCACTAATTTTAGCAAACGGGTCACTACCGCTGAGCCATATCAAGTAAAAAAATGTTTATTGTTTATTTATTTATATATATAATTTATATAAATATATATTTATTTATTTGTTTATTTATTCATTTCTCTCTTTAATTCATTTTTTCTTTTTTCATTATTTATTTATTACAATTATTTATTTAATTATTTATTATTAATAATTATTATTATTTATTTATTTATTCTTTTAACCAACAAAAAACAAAACAGGTAAAGTTCAGAGAGTCATTCGAGCCATACTTCTCAGCGGACTGTGGTAGGCATTTTGATTTGGTATGAGGCCGACGTCAATGTAGATGTTGCAGTCAGCGAGGCTGTTGTTCAACAGGCCATTCATCATGTAGTTCATCGGGTTGTGGCCCTAGTAGAATGGATAATTTTTTTTATTCTGATTAATTTGTGAGGAATGTTTACACATTGCGATTTTAGTCATCGTCATCTTCGTCATCACAGCCATCGTTATCATCATCACAACCATAGTCATGTTCATCATTATCACAACACTCATCATCAACAATACTTATTGGTAAACTGTGCGTCTGGTACTTTAGAAATGTTTTTTTTTTCATGGGCGATGCAACTTCGACAACACATTTCATGTTATTTCAACAGGTTTTTTTGTAGTAGTAGTTGTAGTAAGTAGTAGTAGCAGTTGTAGCACAGTTGTAGCAGCAGCAGCAGTAGTAGTAGTAGTATTTGTAGTAGTAGTAGTAGTATTTGTAGTAGTGGTGGTAATAGTAGTAGTAGTACGTTTTCAAATAAAAATTTGTTTCATTATAAAAACACAAACGTTCACACCATTTATAATATAACTTCAACTAGATATGGCTCATGAAGAGCAAGCACATAGGTTCGCCATGCAATATAAATGATAAATTGGTTATTAATGTTTTTGAAATAAATAACAGTAATGTTTACTTTATTCATGACATTTTAGAAATTTTTGGCATAATTATCGACAAGGTTGCCATAAAAAAGAAGATGAGTCCGCCTTTCAGCGTAGGCCAAACTTAGGAAGACTTCGCAACCCAACAGATTTGCGTTTTTTGGTTTGGGAGGCGATAATGCCTGCCTCATCAAAGACGGCGACGATGATGAAGATTGAGAAGATGATGATGATTTATTGGATTCATTACCAGTATCATCATCAACTTCATTGTCGTCAGCGTCACATGATTGTAAGCATTTACTCTCGTCATCGTCATAATTCAGAGTTCTGAAACATTTAACATGAAATGCGGCTGACGTTCGGCAAATTATGGAGTTCAAATTTGTAACTGGGAGCGATTGATTAGTTTTAGTTCCATTCCAATATATTTTTTCATATTCTTCCGTGTGATGTTTTCTTTTTTCATAATTCGATATCCATTTGTGTTGTCTTGAAATTAGTAGTACTGGCTCGGCTGATAAAATGGAGTTTAATCTAAGTTAACGTTAACTCAACGTTAGATTTTTCTAGCTTAATATCGTTGCTAACATTCAAAACATCATCAGTAAAACGCATATTTACTGTTAATGAAGCAAAACTATTTTGGTTTCAACATCTTGTCAATGACTTTTACATATGCATGTAAACCTGCTTTCAGACTAAGTTAAATTATCTTTTACTCATTTTTTTCACTTTTTATTCTTCCATTCATCACTCTGAAAAATCGATGTCCCCACATGGACGTCATCCAATTTTCACTTCATAGTATGAAATATTTGTTTGCAGTTTTTATGGAATCAGTTCGTATTCTAGTCACAGAAGAATAATTTTACAACACTATACCGCAGTGAACAAGCTATATCTTTAATTTTGTATTTTTTAACAGACCCAAAATCAGTATTTAATGTCTCATTTTTGTAAATTTTGTAAAATAATTTTTAGAATTCGAGGATCTCTGAGTTGTTCTTCTGAAATGTCTATGAGATAGTTCAAATTCTGAAGCATCATATTATCCAGATTATTTACCAATTGTTGATAAAGTTCACTATTATCTTGGTTAACATCCCTAACTTATCCAGCTGATTTCTTCTTTTGCCTTTTTTCGCCATCACGTCTATTTTCATCGGTAGAAAAATTAACATTTGTGATTAAGTTGTTAGGCGTTTTCGATACCGACCCAATCGACCCAATTTCAGCAGGTTTGTCGTCGCTGTCGTTATCTTCCATCTCGTTGTCCTGAAGGTCATCGTCAGTAAATTGTGGAGATTGAAGTTTCTTGGCAACTTTTTTAACTTTAGGCGTACTCGATACCGGCCCATACGATATTTTTTCCTAGTTTATCCTTATAACGTTGTCAAAGCATTTCAAATTCAGTCTGTTTCTGCATTCTTCAATTTCATTTTTTTGGAATCCAACGAATTTTGCCTATAAAATAATTCGAAAAAATAAAATTTTTATATGAAAGTCATTTATCGGAATATGGTACAAACTTTATGTAAAAATAAAGATTCAACTTACATCATCAAAATCGGAAGAAATTTTGTTGACTGCTGATTTGTCCATATTTACCAAACTGCTAACACGAGGTTGTCATCGAAATAAAAAAAACAAAATGAAAATATAACTCGCTGATCACGTATTTATCTGTGTAAACAGCTGATAAAGACAGATTCTGTATTAAAGCTGCATACTTAATGTTGTGTTCTGCTGTTTTGAAGAGTTGAAACACGAACTAAATAGAAAACAATAAGCGTAATGTACGTATACTAATTTATTACGTAAAATAAATGTAACGTTCTATAACCAAACGAAGTGAAACGAATTGAACGAATTAAAAAGCATGTCACAGTAAAAGTCACATTGTATTGATACATTAATTATTGCCCAAAAACAAATAGAATACATAGTGATGTGCCCTGCACATAACACTTAATATAATTGGTCACGTGTCCTTTTGTGTTATCACAATGAATATTATTTAGCGTAATGCATATGCATCTGTGAGCTTGCTTAGCTTTAAACTTAATAATAATAATCTAACTTTTTCAATTGCGTCGCTGTTCAAGCTATGAAGTTTCTCATTTATTTTCAACATTTTTGGAACTTCGCCAACTTCAAAATCAAGTCAACTGCGGTTTTCCCTCTAAACTTTTTCCCGTCCCGCGGTACTTCCCGCACGAAAAATATCCGCCCCGCGAGTTTCCCTCCAACTTCTGTTCTCAACCCACAATTTTTTTCGCATGTATTTGCGGGAAAATTTGCGGGAAATTTTCCATGTAGACCTCTAATTGTGAGTAAATCTACAGCAAGTGTATCACGTCTTTCTTTATTTGACTAATACTCCACTCTGTAAATTTAAAAATTCGCAATGTTCATCAAAATATCCATAATTTCAACATGTTAGAAGGTATCAAGATATACATATCCATACTATCAACATGCTAGAAGGTATCGAGATATACATATTCATAGTATCACAACCTGTTAGAAGGTAACAAAATATTGATATCTATAAAATCAACATGTTAGCAGGTATCAAGACATACATATCCATAGTATCAACATGTTAGATTATTGGATATACACACTAGGTATTACGTTCATATTTATCTTCCGTTAAGGTAACTATCACTTCCCTCCAATCTAAAATATATATATATATATATATATATATATATATATATATATATATATATATATATATATTAAAGTAACTATCTCTTTCTTCATCAATGATTTGTTGCCAACAAAATTTTAAACGTTTGTATCCTTTGTTACGTCGGTATTTTACTGTCAATCTGATGTGTCCTTTGCTTACGTTTGCGCTATCATTATGTTTTCTAATTTTTTCTTTCTAGGGCAGAAAATTATTGTAGTAACGTTATTTTATTGACATTGTTTCTCAAAGTGCATGACGTCATGGTTGTGTTATTAAAACTGACATGCGCCGCAATGTTGCTTTGTTTTTGAAAACGAGTCCCTTTAGGTTAGCTTCAATAATATTTAATATATACATATATATATATATATATTTAGGAACGAGGTTTTCAGAAATGCAAATTTCATTGAAATTTTTTGCCCATTTTGCATTAATTAACTTCTTTATAAGACATTCAACGAGGCGGTATTGTTTGAGTTCATATTTATCTAAAACTGGAATAAAGCTAACAGCGCTGTTTCGGCGTAATGCCATCTTCAGAGCCTAAATATTGTTTAAACATATAATTTAATTAAAGTAAATGCCTAATGTAAAATGTGAAAATATAGAAAATAAAATATGTATTAAATTGTGAAATAAATTAACCTTGTTGTAAATATCATAATAACTAAAGTTTATGTAGATTATATATAAATAAAATAATGTAATTTAAATAAAATGTTTAGTAAAATAATTAAAATATAGAAATTTTATAAAAGTTTTAACATGGTTGAGAAACGTTAGTGAAAACTAATTACGAATGACATGTGCGCCAGATATATAATATTGCTGTGTATGCGTTGTGAATACAACTATTGCGGTTGAATATGTGTGATACGAGTTTCCACATCAGACCTACGGATACATAGTTAAATATAAATACATATATGTACATGCAAGATACATATCTATGTATAGATCAAGTATTAGGTATCACATAATACATCCAACGACGCGATGACGGTTGTCGGATGACGCTGGGTCACAAACTGCGTGTTGATGGGTTGAAATGTATTCAACGTAGGATGATATTCATATCGTTGTGGTACACGCAGATCCTGTGGATCAACCCCAACGGCAACAGTAGGTGTGAGATCGTGATATTGAGAAAACAATTGCAAAGTGTGATCAAAGCTGTTATATTGTTTATTGAGTGAGGGTTTATGCTTGTTGATATGAAGGGCTTCTTTAATTTTAAGGCGAACTGGATCGGGTTCATAATCAAGGATCGTTGTGTTGGGATCCAATATGTTCCTCGTAAGCGGTTGATGATGTACCCGTTCCATATGGTCCTTAATGGCACCATTCTGTGTATGCATATACATATATATAATATATATATATATATATATATATATATATATATATTAAATATATATATTTATATATATAAATATATATATATATATAAATATATATATATATATAAATATATATATATATATATATATATATATACATATATATTTATTCAGAATATATTTATATGTATTCTATATATTTTAAACGCTTTTTTCATTGCAACGTCGGTATCTTACGGACAATCTTATTCTGAATTTATGCAAATTGTTGACGAACGAAAAACTAATAAAAAATATAAAAATACTGATAGCCGATAAATCTTATTTATAAGTAATATTAGACATTAAAACTTATTTATCTAAATTAAATGACATATTGAAAGATGAAACTAAATTTAAACTGATAACTAAAAATCCAACATTATCGCTTAAAACAAAATCTAACCAAATTATTCGACAAATCAATGCTAACTCAACAGAACATGAAATACCGCTATTAACTGGTGACTACAGACCAGGTTATATGTATGGTACTGTCAAAATTCACAAAACTGGCGACCCACTTCGTCCAATGATTAGTCAAATACCAACAGTCACATATAATGTTGCAAAATGGCTCAACAGCATCCTAACTCCATATATTCCAAATGAACATTGCATTTCTTCATCATCAGAATTTATTCACATCCTAAAAACTAGATCATCATCAGGCATCATATCATCAATAGATGTGGAATCTCTTTTCATTTATGTTCCTGTTGATGCCACAAAAGATATTATTTTAACTATGTATATAATGGTGCTATGAATCCACTAAAAATTAAACCTCATCTGCTAAAACAGTTACTTCAAATTTGCACAAAGAAGCTCCTTTCTACACTCCTGATGGAAAAATGTATCAGCAGGTCAATGGTGTAGCTATGGGCTCTCCTCTAGGGGTGATGTTTGCAAACTTCTACATGGGATATTTAGAAGAAACTGTTTTCCAAAAGAAACCACATCTCAAACGATTAATATATTTTAATTTCAGGTGAATACAGAGCAGATAGATGGTGCTTGACTGACAGTTCCTTTTTCTCCAACTTTCCACTGTGCAATCATCAGGAAGGACTGTCAGACGTGCCATACTCATGCCTCTGCTACACCGACTTTGCAACGGTTGGCTATTCATTTGAGTTTTGCAAAATGGTTAAATTTATCACCATGATGTTCATTCGAAATAAGTTTTTCTCCGAACCTATTTTGTTGTAACATTATTACAAACACTGAGGATGTTGTAATTTGGTTTTCATATCTAATTTTTTTATTAAATTGTTTAAACAAAAGATTTGTTAAGCGACCATAGGACTGTTGATGTTACAGTAGTCTTCAAACTGGTTTAACCACTTACAAAGAGTCAGCAAATTTCTGGTGTGCAGTCTTATTTGTACGAGAATCGACTACTGTTTGTATGGGGTCTGCAAATATCAATTGGCATTCTAGCAATTGGTTCTGAGGTCTGCAGCTAGTATGATTGCTCGGGTTTCTAAATTTGACAACATCTATGATTAAATAAAAAAACAAACTTTATTTTATGTCAATCAAGGACAGAATTCGATATGAAATAGCTCTTATGGTAAAAAACTGTCTGGATGTTTCATCAATTTTCTCTCCAAGATTTCTCAGAGACACAAACAATGGTTTTTGTAATCACGGCATTACACACGTTGCAGATGAAAGGCAGAAATATTTTTGATTCGAACTAGGTCATTTCAACAGCAATGCCAGGCACCTTAACCTTTACACTATGGCGTCAGAGGTTCAATAAATCTTAAGCTTTAAAATTAAAATTTCATTAATCATATGATGCAGTGTATGTGTGATTTTGTATATGATTTTTAATTTTGAAAATTTAAATAAAAACATTTAAATCAGTTATAAATTCACAGAGACCTATTATTGAAAAATTAATACTTCACAGGTTAGAACGCTGTGACGATATTATTATAGTTGGCACTTATTATCAAAATCATCAGCGAATAATTTGCATACTTCATTTTATTTTTCTGTTTGTATTGTTCCAACTAAAACTAGAGTTAGTTATTAAACATTACAAGTATTGAATCCAGTTTTCGTTGAACTTTGCGATGCTTTATATTTTACAAAGTTAAAAAAAACAAATTTGAAAATTGAATATGAGTAGTATAAATGGAATTTAATGATAATAAAAATGACATAAAGTCAACGTTAAAAATGATTAATCAACTATAAAATAAAAGTCATAATGAATGCAACCAAAGAGGAAGCAATACGATTTCGGATTGTTTTGAACTTTCAATAATACGATTTCAAGTACATTCAACTAATGGTGAACATAACGAGTACACTACAAAAATTTTGATATGCAATTTTATTATAATTCAATATGATTAAAAATATAATAATAATAAAAATAATTAACAACAAAACTAATAATAATAATTAGTAATGAAAATTTATTCAATAAAAATTATAAGTTGTTATAATTAATAACCAGAGAAGTGCAATTATAAATTCATCCGGAAATACCAATAGAATAGAGATAA